GAAGCATTTGACATGCATTGTTCTTTATTGGAGTTTTCTCCAGCCCTAGGAGGAATTACTGTGTTTTCTTCCATTTTGCAGATGGAGAAACTAAGGCTGAAGAGGTAACTTGCATAAATAAGGCTACACTGCTAGAAAGTGGTAGCGTTAGGATCAGAACCTGATCTGCCCATTTCAAAACTTGAGCTCTTAGCTCTTGAGCTAAGGCTGTAACTGTAGTGCTTTATTGAGCACTTTCAGTATGTAAGGCATTTACTGGACGAAAAAAGTCAGGCGCGCACACATATACTCGTGTATATATGCACAGACATATCTGCTATTTTTTTAATTAATAGATTTATTTTTTTAGAGAAGTTTTACATTCACGAAAATTGAGAAGATAGTACAGAGAGTTCCCATATACCCTCTTTCTTCTCCACGGACAGTTTCAGCTATTATTAACATCTTGCATTAGTGTGGTACATTTGTTACAGTTGGTAAGCCGATATTGAAACATGATTAAAATTCATAGTTTACATTAGGGTTCACTCTTTGTGTTGTATAATTCTATGGGTTTTGCCAAATGCACAATGTCATATATTGACCATTACAGTATCATATAGAATAGTTTCANGTAATTGACTTTCATGGCCTTTTACCAATTCCTCCCTTTCCCTCATCCCTTTCCCACTTCCCCACTCCCAGCAATCTCAGTTCTGTTCACTTCTCTTAACAAGTTCAAAGAATTATTGTGGTTGTTGTGTCTTGTTTTTTTTTTTTTTTTCCTTCGAACAGATAATTTTGTATCCAATAGAAAATAATGTCAATGTCTAGCAATGCCTAGACTTTTGCTAAAGATTTTATGTATTTTATCTCATTTACTCAGTACTCAGTGAATCTATATGAAATATTTAGAAAACCTAGTTCATTTTTCAGTTCCTTGGGTTTTTGCTATTTGAATTATATATCTCAGTCTTGGCATATTTGGTATACTGGTGCTTTGGTGAGAAGTTGGTGGTCTCTTAAAAAAACAGCTTTTTCAGGAAGACTAATTCAGTGGCAAAGTTGACAATGAATTTACAAACAGAGTCAAAGTGTCAGGTTGGTTGAAAATCTTCAGTGTTCATGTGGTCTAACCACCCACCTAATACTTCAGTCCTGGACAATTTCTCCTTCAGGCTCTGTTGTGTGTTTAAGTGTCTTAACTTTCCCTGCCCTTACCACCATATGAAAATTCATACTGTCCCAAGCAGGGTCATACTGCTCACTGGCTTCCTCACGTTTCATCAAACCATACAAGTCTACTGAAATGCATTTGTTTATAATTGAGAACTTCCTCCCGTCTATTACAATTTGGTCTCTCTTAGAGGCATTTTGTTTTGAAGAATTCACCCTCAATTTAATGACCATTTAAAGCCATTCCCTTAGATTAAATTAATAAAATATTTCATGATTTAATCTTTTAAACACCTGTGGGGCTTTTAAATTTGTTTTCGTTGTGTTTTGTTCTTACAAATTATAAAGTCACTTGCATGTATAGGCCTAGAGAAGAAAATACATTTAGAGAAAGGAAAATTGCCAAGACAGGCAAGCCCTGGTCAATCAGTGAAACAAGAAAAGCTAAAGCTGACGTATATCTAGAACTCTTTTTAGGATTATGGTATAAATTACAGGGATACTTATTCAATGACTACCTATAGATGTCCCTTTCTACCTGCTAGCCCAGGGACTATATTTGTCTTTTTACTATTACAGAAGAAAACAATCTTTCATCATGTTGGACAAGTTGATCCTTGCTCCACTGACTTTGTGGATCTATGTAATCACAGCCTGGAATGGCTTGGGGTCTTAAGATCATCATTAAGGAATAGTTCAATGGTATTTATGCCTGCAGTCCTTAGAATGTAGTGTTAGAAGTTGTGTTAATGGCCAGGGCTGAAGAGGGAGAGCCAAGTAAAGAGATGAAATAAGTATAGAACTCTTTGTGTGAGATCCACAAAAGATTTCCAGCCTATGAAAGCTATTTATTGGAAGCTTCTTTTTTTTTTTTTTCCTTTTTGTCTTTTTTCGTGACCGGCAGCAGATCGCAACCCTCAGTGTCGCGCCCGTACCGGACCGGGACCGGCAACGGGATCGCAACCCTCGGTGTTGCTCCCGCACCTCGCTCAGCCAGTGAGCGGCCGGTCTGTACGTGGGATCCGAACCCTCGGCGGGAGCGCTGCCACGCTTCCCAAGCGGCGCACTGTAGCAGCTGCCAGAGGCTGAGGCGTGTTCCTCTATCTGGTTGGGTGTGGAGAGCTCTCTAGAACCAGGGGCAGCTTGTTCTGGTCCCAGGTTTGCAAAACACACCACCTACGTGCTGACCTGAGTATAAGCATAAGGGTGTGAGGTTTATTTTTTACTCCACCTAATTCGGTGAGGTGAATGCTTTCACTCATGCTCCAAGTTGCCTCTTCTATTTCCATGGAACCTGCTTATTCTCACTAAGGTTGGTAATGGGTCAGCATAATAGATAACTCTAGGAAATCCAAGATAATCTTTCTACTTTGGAGGCTGTGCGTTTAGAGGAATCACAATAAGCTGGATAGTTTTGTTTTTTTTTTAAAAAGCTGTAGATTTTGAACTCTTTCTATATGCCTGGCACTCATCTCACTTAAGACTTCTCTCATTTAATCTTCGCAATCACCATATGAAGTAGGTACTAATATTAGTCCCACTTAGTAGTTATTAATATCATCTCTTCATTTTACAAATGAGGAAATTGAGCTTTAGAAAGGCTAATTGAGTTGCATGAGGTCACATAAGCGATGATAAATAGTAAAGTAGGGATTCAAACCCAGGTTTGTCAGATTCCATAGCTTGTGTTTTTTCCTCTCTACCAAAAAAGATAAAAGCAAGCAAACAAAAACAACTATTAGCTCAAAAGACAGTGATCCTTGCTTCCCTTTTAAGGATGACACTCTTAAACAGTTCATAAGTTGCAAATAAGTTTTCTGGGAACAGGAATTATATTTTATTCATCATTGTATACCCTGCTTTCACAATGTATACACTTAATACAGACACATTTGTTAAGTGAAATATGAATAATCTGATATTGGAATAACCCAAATGTGAGTAGCTAATGACAACGGCTAAGAAATTATTATGTGCTCTAACACTAAGGTCAAGGGTTCAGATTCCCATACCAGCCAGCCGTCCAAAAAAAAAAAAAGAGAGAGAACTTACTATGCCCTAGGTACCAATTTAAGTGCTGTACACAAGTTGACGTGTATGAAGATAGTTTCAGATGTTAATCTCTATTTCACAGAGGAGGATGCTACAGCACAAAGATACTAAATGGTAGGTAGTGGAACCAGAATTCTAATCCAGCAGTCTGATTCAAGTCCACATGGTTAAACTCTATGCTATAATTACCTTGAGCAACTCCAAAAACGGGGCTCCAACTATTTTATAGACTTATACATGTATCCTGGTGTACATTTAGGTGATTCTAAAGGCTTTATTCAACATTTCTGCCATGAGGGGGCATACTAGGAATCAGGATGTATCAGGGAATGGTAAAATTCCATTTTCCTCTTGCCACTGGACTCATCTCTCAGAAGCAGGCAATGAGGAAGGTAATTTCTAAACCATTTGGGA